GTGTCCCCACAGGCAGCCGCTCCGAGGGGCTGCGCAGTCCCAGCGAGTCGGTGTTCCTGCGCATGGAGGGCATTCCCTTCATCCAGGAGGAGCTGGCTAACAACGAGGAGAACAGCAAGCGGCAGAGTGAGTCTGGCTGGGGTAGGGGACACACAGAGGACCCCGGGGGTGGCGAGGGCTGTGGTGCCCTGGGGCGCTGCAGCCAGGCTGGGCTTTTGCAGACAGTGAGTGCTGCGGCACCGTCCTGGAGGCAGAGTCGCTGGGCAGAGAGGCCGGGACCAGCTCATCGCCGAGCAGCTCTGAGGAGACACTGGGCAGGAGGCTGCTGAGATCCCTCAGTGAGTGACTGACCTGGGGATGGAGCACCCCGGGGAGAGCTCTGACCCTGCTGCTTGGGTCAGCTCCTGCCCAGTCCTGTCCTGGGGACACCCTGCCACAGGGCTGGCACGGAGCAAGGGGGCAGCCCCGTTCCCCAGCAGTACCCCAGCGGCAGGCACAACTGCACCTAGGGCTGGCTTGGGCAGAGCCAGCCACCTGGTCCTGGCCTGACCCCGTGCACCCCCTGCCCTAAGCACCCTTGACCCCCAGCACCCAGCCCTGCGCACCCTTGTTGCTGCAGGTGGGCGCAAGCAGCGGCCATTGCCGGAGGGTGAGAAGACACCAGAGGAGAGCTCCAACCTCGCCCCATTAATCACCTGAGCAGCAGCGTGGCTGGAGCACAATGCTGGAGGCCCATGCAGACTGGAGGTAGGAACCTGCCTCTCGGTACAATATTCCTTCCCCTGAAAATGGAAGGTTGCTCAATTTTAATAGCGTAAAATCAAGTTTCAAGCAGCAAAGATTTGGTTTGGAGCCCATGCAGGCACGCATGTCACTGGGGGCTGGAGCAGGGTCAAGGGATGCAGCAGCAGACCCCAACCATCCTTGGGGCGGGAATGGATGTTGGAGGGAGAGTGAGAGAGACCCTGACTCGTGTTTTCACAGCTAGAATTGCGTGTCTGCACCAACATCCCTGAGCCTGGCTAGGAAAGGTGCTGCAGGCTTGAGCAGCAGCAGGTCAGGGAGGGCAAGCTCTGGCCACCTGCACCAGACTGCACTTGTGTCTTCCAGGTCTGCAGCATGGGGGTCTCCTGCCGCGAGGCTCATGTTCGACAGCAGCAGGTCTGCACTCGTCCGGGGCCCTTGCCCAGCTGCTCCCTGGTAGCATCTGGTCTCAAGGAAGAGGTGGAGAAGTGTCTGGCACAGCATCCCTGCAGGCAGAGCAGGGAGGGGCGGCCCAACCCAGAACTGCCCTTAGCGTCATTTACCATCCCCACCCCGGAGCCCCTTGGTGCTGGGTGCTGCACAGATGTGGTCTCCACCATGAGGAGAACGTGCTGTTCGGCGGGGTGCCACGCACAGCTCAGGGCCCCAGCACACGTTTGTGCCGTGCCTACTGACATGCACACTCGCAGCACCTTGCGCACGCTGTCCATCATCGCAGGCCAGCGGTCCCGCAGCCCTGCCAGGCCCAGGACAGGGAGCCCAGCTCACCCCTGAGCGCAGCCCCCTCCCTGGGGAGAGCCGCTCCACACCGCATCGAACCATCCGCCTCTCTGCGCACCGCGCGACGGAGGCTTGCACCGAGCCTTCGGGTTGGTACAGACCAGTCAGTAGTTTTTGTAGCGGCTGAACGCAACGGGGATATTAAAAGTGATTTCTCCCTGAGCAGTGCCCTGTCTGTG